TATTCTACGTAATTTATTTAAATGTAATTTATGTAGAATCTTTGAAATAATTAACGATTAAATTAAATAATAAAGAAAATTAAATTTAGAAATATATGAAATCATTATTCATTGTTCGAATACAATCGAATAAATTTGGTATTAACAAAATTTGTTTTGTCGCAATCGTTGACTCGTTTTCATTTTGTCGAAATAAATTCTGCAAACTAATGGAAACCAAAGAATTCACGAGATTTCTGACGATCGTGCTCCGGAATGAAAGAGGAAAGATATTCCGGTTGGTGAATAAATTGCCGATGGCAAGGCCGCAACTAATGGCCGCCAGTCTGGCGTCGATACTTTTGCTTGTTTCCTATCGTACACACACGTCCAGTTAACAAACTACTAACAGGAAGATGTTCAAAGATGTTCAAAGCTGTTCTTCGTATTTTTTATCTTTTTTTTGGTTTCCTCTTTTTTCATCTTATTTTCTTTCTCTATATACACCAGCCCTCTTTTTTTTCATCCTAAGTTCCCACACGCGATCTTGTTTCATGTTATATTTTTTTCTTTCATATTTCCGCAAGAAGAATGTCGTGAAAAATCGATACGAGATATTGGTCACGATCACTATTACGAACTGTCAAATTTTCACGAACCCGTTACTCAGGTTAAACGCAAAAAAAAAGAAATAACAGGATTTATTTATACAAAATGAAAACGAATTCTTATTGCTTGTTGCATAAAAATCTGTAAATTGAGATGCGAAAATATTTTGAAAGAAAATTCAAACCGATATGATGAACGTTCAATTGAGAAGTGATTAATATTTAATACAAATTTGTAATATAAAGAAAAATGTTAAAAATTTGGAAATTTATGCAATATGCGACAAATAATGTATATCCGATGTAAGTAAAATAATTTAATAATTACTTTACTATATTAATGTATGTATATATATATATATATATATTAAATATAATTGACAGACCATTTAGATCGTCAGAATACGAACGATATTTTTCTCGCGAAAGTAAAAAATGCCAAAAGTATGTACTGATCCGAAATGTCCATTGAATAAATACACGAAGTAAGTTATTCCATCTCTGTGATATCGCTATCTTCTCTTCAAACATTTCCTATACTTTCATATCTCTGTTCAAGTATTTGTTTTGAATTTACAGTACTGAAAAATCACGAAAAGAATCATGCAAAATTCATGGAAAACCATGCATCAAATTTTCCTCTGATCATGCACGAGAAAATCGTAGCGAACCTAAACGAACGAAGTATTGTACGAAACTATGTAGAAAAAAAAAGGATCGAAAGTTAAAAGAGACGATAAAAGTTGGTCGTTGTGGGATATGTTGTAACAAGTAAGTTTTTATAATTTGTATAAATATTAAAAGAAGAAATAAAATGGGAAAAAAAAACAAATTACTCTGATGAGAAAAATATATCACAAAAAAAATTATATTACTTTTTTAGCAAAAACTGTAAAACTATTAAATCTACCATAGAACGTGGCACATCCACAGATTCATTGTCAACAAAACGGTAAAAATTCTGATAAATTTACACTTTTATAAACGTTCACAAAATTTCTACTAAAATATTGTTTGTCTTATAAGCCACGGTGTTGTATAAATGGAAGCCTTAAATAAATCCCACAGCTCGAGAAAACGCGGAATGCAAATTCATGGTTATAACGAAAAAGAAGACAAAACTTGCGAATGTAAACGCAAAAGATGTTGCGAACGAAAAAGAAATCGAAATAAAGGAAAAAGAGGTCAATATCGATCATCTCGTTGTAAAAGAAAAAGAAAATATACTTGGCTAATAAATTGTTTAAGAAAACTTTGCTTTTGCGTTAAAACTCCTAAGAGTTACGAAAAATCTAATACTTATGCGCGATCTAACGAAACGTTATTACAAAACTGCGAATGTTGTTGTCGTACGTATAAAAAAGATGTACGTTAATAAATTATTATTATATATAAATCTAATATAATATTTTCAAATAAATATATATAGATTAACAACTCAAATAAAGAATAATTCATTTACAGAAACGTAAAGGAACATCGAAGAAATCGCATCATTCAAAAAATCACATTTTTCTTCCAGATGATAAAACATTGAGAGAAGATTCTACGAAATATCAGCGAGCTAATGGTTTTGATCGAAAATGTCAATGCATCAATACCATCGCGAAAAATCGGTTGGTTTTTTTCTTTTTAATCAAATCATCTTCCAATGCTTTTCATACTAATTATTTTTTGTTTAGAACGATGCCTCAACATCAGTCATATTTACAAGGTGTTTTATCAAAAGGATTCAATGTTATGTGTAGAGGTATAAATTTTTGTATATGAGCAAACGTTATCTCCAACTTTTCACTTTCGATAGATCGCTGACAGAGAATGTTTATTCTTTATCTTTATTGCATAACGTTAATAAGTCCACAAACATAAAGTATTTTGACGCATAATAATGCGATAATATATCGCAAAGTTAATACATTTAAGAAACTATGACCTGAGTTACATGAAAAATTGAAATTAAGTTTTAATCGGAATCCATGTTGCTAAACATGTCATACAGTGGATAAAAAAGTATTTGCATACCTCGCTTTCTTCTAATAATGTTACTAACAAAAGAATAAATGAAAGAATCACTTGTCTCGAATGTACAAAGTTTTAAAATGATTATACTATACTTTTTTGGTTCAATATATAATGATAATTTATCTGTACTACATATATTATCAAAAGACAAACTGAAACTGGTACTAAAAAAAATTTTTAAAAATCAAAGCACTCAAAAATACTTTCTCAAAGTGATCAACGACAAATTCTGAACGAAATATCCAATAATTAAATCGTTTGTGTAAATGTTTTTCATAATGCTAACTTATATGATAGAACTGCAAAGAAAAAGTCATTAATCAGTGAATTTTTGATCGGATGCAAAATAAGGTGTGTAAATACTTTTTTATATCCACTATATATAAACTACTTATGTCATTAGACCGTCTTCTCTGCTTTTGTCCTATTAATTAAAAATCAAATAAAGTCTGTACGTTTTAGCAGATCATATAAAACATAAAAGTAGCTGTGATAAATGTAACTATGTTTCATAACGTATCTTGTGATTCTATATACACATATAATGATTATCTATAAATAAAATAACGTACTCTTCATGACTCGCCAGAGGCAGTGATCGTGATAGTCCAATAAATCAATATCAGATACAAATAAGTATATTTATGGTTCATACTCTACCATATATGCACGCATCATTTTTCCTGATACTAAGTAATTTTGTGATATTTTCTATAATGCCAACTGTTATTTACATTACCTTGTTGAACTATTGTATGTATTGTATTACACTTGGGTAAAACAATTTGAAGCTTGTGTATCACTTGAATATAATTGGTAAGAGAAGCATCAAGCTTCAAGTATCCTGCTTCGATGCGAAGTTCTGTAATGATACGACAGAACGAGACATATGCTCGCAAAAAGTAAATTAAACTATTACACGATACATATAGAATTAGTCTCGATACAGTGGAATGATCAGTCTCTTTTAAAAAATGTGGTTGTCAATCGCTACCATAAAACTGATTTAGCTGATTGGCAAGCCAAGCGAGGCAAATTTTTCTTATTAATTAAACGAAATACGACGATATTTCCCATAAACACAGTAATTGTTTAAGCTAAATGCGTATAATTGGTACCTGACAATGGCAAGCTGAGAATATTGGAATTCATTACTTTTGTTTTCTTTCCATGTTTTTTTTTTATCTCATCGTACCATTGACTTATCGTGTACTGCGTCTACTAGTATTACGTAATTTTTTTTCAATCTCAAATTGTCGTAGATCTGCTCTTTGAAGAAAATCTTGTCTCTCTAAATACCCATCCTTTCCCCTATTATGATTTACAATTTCTTCCTCTATATTTTCCTGCTTTTTGTAATTGTCCCAATCAAGCTTAGACTTTTCCAATGTACTAATCTTAGCTTTCTTTCCAATCTGCCCCAAAACAGAAGAAATACCTCCCAACCCACCCCTTTTAATAACTCCTCTTCCTCTACCTCTTCCAGCAGGAGAGGTACATGCATCTGTTTTCGTAGAATATTCAGCGGATGGTAAGGATAGTCTAGCTTCTGCAGAATCTACCGACACCTCTTTCTCTATTTTTACCTCTTCGCCAGCAAATTCAAAGATTTTTGTTATCTTTACTTTTTCCTCCGCTTTGGGTTTAATTAAAGCAGAAGATTTTTCTTTCGGTCCATTCGTTGAGATTGGCTGTTTGGGTTTCGAAGCTACAGCTATTATAAAAATACGCAATATATTAGAATAAAATATAAAGAAAGTTTTAGAAAATTATATTATAAACAATTATTAGCAATAATATTCTACCGGTATCCTTCATAAAATCTGCCCACAAGGAATCCGCTCTTTTCTTTTCTTCTTCTTCTGTAAGTTCTTTCTTCTCCGCTGTCTCAGATTTGTTTTCATCCTCTTCTTCTTTCGAATCATCTGACTCTTTTAATTTTCTTTTTATTCTTTTCTTACGCTTTGTACTTTTATCTTTAACAGTCTGTTTCCCTCTCTTTCTGCTTATCGTTTTATCAGTTTCTCTCTTATTCTCATCGTTTTCATCCTCAGGTCCACTTTCTACTTCACCTTCTGAATCTGCTTCAGATACAGGTTCATTATCAGCTCCATCAGGAACATAATCTTCATCGTCGTCGTCAGAATCAGAAGGTAATTCATGCTCTTTTGACATTTCTATGTGTACGATCTACGTAATCATAGGTTAAGTTAAATATTATTACTTTGATATAAAATAATGGATAAAAATATATATTATTATTTTGATTACTTACATTTTTTTATTAAAAATGAGGAAGATATTTATTCAAGAAATCTTGTCAATATTCAACGTTCGGGAACGTTCCTTCCTATATGACTTAATTTTTCTTACGATCACACGTTATTACTAATTGATATAATTATAATACAGACGTTAATCAATTGTTTCAAAAAAATAGTAAACTAAAAATATTGCTTTAATAAATAAACTAGAAAGATTAAAATTGTGTACTATTAGGAATCATAAAATATACATTACTTTTATTATTCACATTGAGCACGTATTTCTGACGACGTTCGAGCGTACTGCCTGCCATCTTTTGTTGAAAATGCAACTCTACGACCAATCGAAAGTCTAGAAATAGTCACGTGATAAACGAATTATATCGTATATCGAAAGTCTAGTAATAGTCACGTGATAAACGATATATATCGTATATGGGATCCTATATAGGTTTTTTCTGATGGATCGTTCTCAACATGAAACCATTGCAGTTCTCATGTGTTTTTAACTAATGGAAATGCATGTAGGTTATAATTCAACCAATTACAATTAACCTTTAATAATACATATATGGTAAATGAAAGATTATTAATATTTAAAATATACAAATAAAATTTTCTAATAAAACATTTTTTAAATTAAATTCACTTTCAATGTACGTACTGTAATATAAATAATTATTTTTCTCTTGTTAATTGTCACAAAATAAGTAACCCCATTGCGTAAAATATTTAAAAAAGTACTATTTCAAATAAATTATTAAAAAACAATAACCGCGCGTCTAAGAATAGAAAAATATTAATACAAAAGATGAATAGTTAAAGGTTGACTACAAATGCATTTTGCTGGTGCATTATTTATTACAAAAATACGATCGTTAAATCTTATCAGCATAATAATTATACTTGTAAAATTTCTTTTTATGCATAAAATGTTATACTTTAATGTATTCCTTTTATTTGCTACCAGATGCAATAGAAAAAGAATATAAGTTTACTGAATACAAAATAATGACTATCTTGATACAAAATTGATAAAAATTTGTATTCCACGATGTACCTTCTTTAAAATCAATCAAAATATATCATAAATATTTATCTTATCATTAAGAATATAAGAAATATTTGACAGAACTCGTTTTAACTAATTATGAGAGACATTTTATATATCAAGATTAAAATCATTGTACCGATTACATACCGAAAAAAGGTCAAAACGTTTCAAATTGCGAGGGATTATTCACAAATTTGTCGAGCAATAATTTATTCCTTTTTAAGACGTTAACAGAGAGTTCACTCGGGTCACTGTAATTCTCATATTACGGAATCCATTTCAAAATTCTACTTTCCAACGAAACGATTAACTGCCAGTCAACGAGGGATTTCAGGAGGATTAACGTTATGTGACTTTTTCGTTGGAAGAAAGAATTTACGTAAAAAAAAAAAAAAAAAAACCCCCTCTCTCACACATAGAAGAAAAGATCATATTTAATTCAACAGAAATTCTAATAAATAATATTAAAAATTGATATATATATATTTATTCAATATAAAATGTATTCCGAAATTAAAATCAATTTTCAAATTGCGTATCTTTAATTATTATTATTATTATTATTATTATTATTCTAAAGCTAAACGATAAAAAAAAGAAAATGTATCGGAAGTATCAGAAGAACGGAAATAAGAAGAAAAATAAAAAATAGATCTGATCGTAGAGACGAAAAAAGGAAGAAGGGTGTGAGTGTATGGAAAATAAGTATAAAGATGTACTATAAGACAGAAGGATGTTCCAGGTGGCTCCAGATGACACAAACTCCAAAGCTATTGGATGAAAGCATTCGAAAAGCGCGAAGAGGAGGATGAAGAAGCTTAAAGAAGGAGGTTCGTATGAGTTCGAAAGCTCCGCCCGATTTTCAGGATACCACAAATCTCGTAGCTCATTTCAACCAACTTCTGTTTCTCTTTCTATTTCTTCTTCTTCTTCTTCTTCTTCTTCTTCTTCTTCTTTACTTCTCCTCCCAAGTTTCTCCCTGTTTTATCTTCAACGCTTTGGAGATACACTTCAACTGACAATTAGTATCGCGTAAGCGGTGTATCCCGACCGATCGAATTTTTCAACGAAAGTTATTAGACAAAAAACAAAAAAAGAAAATAAAATAAAACGAACAACATTTTTAATCGATCACGCAAAAAAACGAAAAAAATAAACGCGGCGTACAACGGGATACAATAATTTGAAGGGGTCGTTTTCCCACCCCTTTTTGTTCTTTTTTTTTGGTTTTGTTTTTTAATTATATTTCAACGACACACACACACACACACCCGCGTGATATTAAGAAGAAATTTGGATTATTAAGAAATAGGATGCCACGGAAACGTCGTGCATCGACACCGTCGTTGGAATGCGACGAGGATGAATTCATTTCGGAAGAAAAATTTGGCAAAGAAGATTTGGATAATCGTGCACCGAGAAACGCAGCTAATGCACGTGAACGTGCGAGAATGCGTGTATTATCTAAAGCATTTGTCAGATTGAAAAGTCGATTACCATGGGTACCATTCGATACGAAACTCAGTAAATTGGATACTCTTCGTCTTGCTGCAACATACATCGCTCACCTTCGTGCCATTCTCAGAGATGACGGTGATTCTAATCCAGAAACAACGAGATCGTTATCCTTAACTTTGGTAAGTTTTATTATATTATTACATTTGTTTTACACACCCCGTACTTTTTAAATAATTATCATCGTAAGTTTGTTAATGTAATCAATCATGCTTGAGATAATTTATAGAAAAATTCACGCATTATTATTTAGATCATTCCATTGAAAGATATTTTTTCTCATAAATGTAAAAAAAAATAATGTTAGTAGATTATTTCAAACGAATTATTGTAGATTTTCTTTTTTCTATCATTATAATTATCCAATAGAATAATACGCTAAGACGCCAGGTGGATCCATTCGGCGTCGCGACGGCAAACGTCGTTTTCGAAGTCATCCTCTCTGTTTATGTCTCTCCAGGTGGAACGAATCACTTTAAAACCTCCCACTTATACCCTTTGCTGCCGTTAATTCTAACTTTGTTCCGTTGTTTGAAGAATAATGTTTGTTTTATTATATGTGTGGTGGAATATAAAACAGTTTTAGCACAGGATTTTTTTCTTATTAAAACAATTCATTCGTATCTCGAAATATTTCAATTTCGTTTAACACATGAAAAACGTACGTCTCTTTATTATTATTATTATTTTTCATTTAATATTAAAACATGTGGAGATAATTTTTTGTAAATTTTAATTATTTTTAGATACAATTTCTTACAAGAACAAATTTCTCATTTAATTTGTATAATTATAACGAAAATAATGAAATTCTTTGTTCTATATTTTTTTTGTACACAGTCATGGCCTTTTGCTATCCAAGGAACAAACGCTTCGATGTTGGTGAACAACAGTTGTAACATGTCATCCTCGACTTCTGCCAGTTCTAATCAGTATCGGGGACAGCAAGGAAGCAACGATATTCAAGGCTTTCATCACGGTGGACATCAGAATACTTCGATGCGCCATAATCATGCACACAATCACGAAACACAGTTTTCTTATTACTAATCCATATATTTTCTAACGAATTATACGAAATATTTATTCGATAACGAAATCGCGTGCCTTAAAAAAGTAACGCATAGTGAAACAATAAATATATGTTATCATGTGAAGATATTTTTGAAAGCAATTTACGATCTATTTATACGAAAGAGTGTTCTCTCTCTCTCTCTATTTCTATTTCTCTTTCTTTATTATTTATTACATTAATTTTAATATATAAAAAAAAACATACATCGCGACATATGTCGCGAATGATTATTATTGTAAATGTAACCAAAGCATACGAACTAGTCGAATAAAAAATATCTTTATCAATTGAAAATAATCTATTGTATTTGTTTCTTAAGTACTAAGAAAAAATAAATATCGTTAAATAACTGTCCTCTTTGCATGAGAGCGCTATGTATTGTATATCCGGAAACTAAAAGAAGGATACGGTAACGTAAGAAGGAAATAGGACTTAAAGTTAAATAAACAAAGTACGAAGAACCTTTGTATAAACCTAATGCTAAAATAATATATCCTATTTCTAGGACAAATCAAGCAAAACCGTCGGTATATCATTTGACATCTTTGCGCGTCAACATACCGCCCCCACCTCATAAAAAATGATCATTCTCAGATTTGTATAACAACCCCCTACCACTCCCCTGATTTATTTTCACTTTTCGATGAACAAAATATATACTTTATATTATTATACGTTTCTTAGGATATGCGATCGATCATTTAAAAATTGTACTCCATATTTTATACATAATATACAATATTTCTTTTTCAAATAGAAAAACTTTTTATTTTTATAAAATAGAGAACTATATTAAATTTATTTTTTTAATTAATAATAGTCAAGCATCACCAGAGGGTTGCATCTTTACACTTATTGAGGGATGGAAGAAGAGATACGAGATATATTTTTAGTAATTTTAAATATTCTCATTATTTTCTATAAAATTTATTGTTACTTAGTTGTAAATGTAGAAAGAATTTAATTACACATTAAATTTTGTGTATACTCCTAGTTATTAAAAGTTACTAGGAAATAAGAAAGTTTCAAATATATTGAATTTCTAGTAACATGGCTACGACGAAAATGGTAATAGTAGTGCTCTACCTTTATCTTATCGACAGTAAAAAAATTTTCACCGCAGAAAGAAAAAAATAATTGCTCTCAATTGCTCACTAATTGCACATTTAAAACCCATAATTGCTC